AAGATTCCCCCCAGGCACTTCCAAGCCATTGAATGCTAATCAAGGTGATCAGCTGAAACATTCACAGCTAGTCCCAGCAGACAAAAGCCCTTTGTCTCACTCTGGTCATTCCACAGATATATTAACCCATTTTTCCTACTTCCAACAGACCTCACTCCCTCTGAGGATGCTTGCCATAGATGCAGGCGAAACGTCAGAAGAAAAATTGCCTCCAGAACATGGTCATATAGCTTGGAAAAACCTACAACAACCCATTGATTTGGCCATGAAAGCCTTCGACAATACATTTATTTGCTTTGTATTAAATGTTTGCTTGCAGCCCAAGGTTCCTGGGTTTCTGCAGTAAGGTGGCTTCCTTTGGTTGCAGTCCTAGGGCAAGTGTCCTGTCCATCATCGTTAAGTTTTGGTCCCGCCCCTTGCTCAGTCAATTGGGAAGGGAAGGGAGCCATTTTTAGTTAGTCTCAGCAAGGAAAGCTAATGTACAGGACGTGTGCAAGCTTCCCCTGTACAAAAGCTTCAACCCTTAAGACCTTCTGGGGGAGAACAGTCTTAAGAGCACCCAAAGATTTCCAGGGAAGCAGTCCTAAAGCTTTGAGGAATTTCGGAGGGTGAACAGTTTGAAAGACCAAAGAACTCCAGCTGGAGAATATCTAAGCCTTTACTGGTAGGTCCACTCGGTGCTTCGAGACGCAGTTCGACCCGGTAGCGGAGCCCACATCAGTAAGGGTTAGATTACAGTCAGCCTGGGAGAAGTTAAAAAGGGGATTTTCCTTTAAAGTAAAGAAGAAGTTATTGAAGGCAGTTGCCTGTCCTTCGTGGGCAAGTTGCATAAAAGCCTGGAATCATTTGTTTAACTTTCTGAAGACGAGAGAAGTTTCTGTTTGATTGTTCATTAATAAAGAACTTTGTTATACTTCACAAGCCATCTAAAAATCATTTGTGGTGGAAGGCCTTACTGAAATCCAGGTACGCTACATCCACGGCATTCCCCGCATCTAGCTAATACTTTATTTATACCTCGCCACCATCTCCCCAAAGGGACTCGGGGCGGCTTACATGAGGCCAAGCCCATCAAATACAAATACAACAATATATCAACAAACAAGCAAGCAAATTTATTTATTTATTTACGTCATTTGTATACTGCTTTTCTCAGCCCTTAGGCGACTCAAAGCGGTTAACAACAGCAGCAGCAAAAATTCAATGCTAACATCATACAAACCATTTAAAAACAACACAATAACACACTAAGTAATTAAACATTAGCAAACAACTCATTAGCGTCTCATAACTAGAATCACGATCCAGCTCGTCATTCGTAGTTCCGTTTTCCTATATTCATTGCACTGCCTATTCAAACGCCTGTTCAAATAATCAGGTTTTCACTTTTTCCCGAAATACCATTAGTGAGGGAGCCAATCTAATGTCCGTGGGAAGGGCGTTCCACAGCCGAGGGGCCACCAC